TACGACGACATGAAAGTAAAACCTTTCGAAAAAATACCTAGAAATACTCGGGCTCACCAAATTTGTAGTGGTCTGGCTACCCAATAAGTCAGTTTACCAGGAGTGTGTGGCAAAGTAATAAAAATAATTACGCTAAGTTGGGTATACAAAAATAAATAGGTCAGATGGAACAAACAACTGTTCTCTTTAAAATAGTTCGTCGTTGGTCCAGGTCAGCGAATGAACAATAATCCAATTACGTTGGTCCGGAGGTCTTCTTCTGAACAGTTCCCACATATAATAGATCCCGAAGATGGTCTGAAATGTTTTGGTACCAGAGTTAGTACATGAGACTCGCGAACGACCGCTGCAAGCGCGAGCGAAATCAGAAGAGAGAGTCGAAACACGTGACCACGCTTGTGAAATTGTACAAGTGCGCGTTTTTTGTAGCTTTTCGTATTTAAACAAAAAACGATTATGCAATTGATGAACTACGTAGTGTTATAATGGAAGCAAAATAAATGTACAAAACGCCACACCCCCATCAGTAAGCAGGATAAATTGCGCCACCAGCTGCCTCTAAGAAGATGAGCGTGGCTCTGCATGCTGATGCGTAATCGGTTATCAGAAATTCATTAGAAAATCGGTCACACGTATCACTTTCAACAAAGAGATGCTCAAAAATGAAAAAGTTCATGATAGCTCTGCTGTCTATTCTGATATGGATGGCATGGCTCTTTAAGTTCTCGTACCGTTTAGGATTTTGATTACTGCCCTCCCCGATGCAACGAACAGAGAATGCTCGTTGTGTGCTGATGAGCTAACCTTTGTCTGCGTTAGAAAATCGCGATTGCACCTGACACTTTAGCGGCTCTCTGAATGCCTCCAACAAAATTAGCTGTCAAGTAACCTGGCAAATTTGGCAGCCTTGCGTTCTGACCATCAGGAGCTTTTGATGACACTCATTTTGGTAGTACCTTAATGAGGTGCTTTCCTGAAGAAAGACCTAGGTATCACTGCTTCTCCTCAATTGGAATCCGCTCCCAGTCAACTAGAAAAGCGTGGGAGCATTTTCTCAATATATGTGGCCGATGGAGATATCCTCGGTAAATCTAACTCCAGTTAGTAACTATGCTGGGATTTTATGCCAGCTTCTACTGTATACCACGCAGCCCGTCCTATGGCGTAATCCCCGTCTACGAGCAAACGCTGGAGTGATCTGATCTCTGCTCGCGTGATTCTAATGAGGCCCTCGGAAGAGGAACCACAGTTGTTTTTCAGTGTAATTAATCAACCTCCAGCCGACAGAATGAAAATTGTGGTTTGTTTGCCGTGTGGTATCTTCAAAATCGGTTTCTGTTTACGCTCGTGCAACTTTGTGAAAGAATCTTTTCGCCTTTCAATCTATTCACAGCGTACACAAGAGTGATTGTTGAATTTTTTCCTCCAAAATAATTTTTACGAGATAACCTCAGTTATTATGCGCTTACCATCTATTTTGCATCCGGTTTCACCACGATTTATACCGCTCGCCCTCTGCAGCCAACGATAGATCACAACAGATTTAGGGGAAATGGCTGCCAGTGCGGTAAGCAATGCCACATCGCAAAGCCTGGTGGCACTTCAAATGCACGGGTTTACAGGACGACCAGATAAGCCGATTAGCTAACTCTCTTGACCCACTTGTCTGCGCCAGCTGCCTCTACATCAAGGATGCAATGCATACCGCCAGCAAGAAGAGAGCCCCCCAAAGACGGTACTCAATCTTCATTGCAGAAGAAGACAGACCGATGTGAGTGTTCCGCTCTGATCGGGATACTCGACGCGAAATTGGAGCTTCTTTCTAAGGCACCGGAGGATTCAAACACAAAGGATCCAGCAACATGGACGAACGTTGATAAAGAACTTTATTCGCCGAATGAGTACCTCGCACTATCCATACCGGGTCTGCTGGCTGCAAAAAACCACCAGCTATCTGACGCGACTATAAAGACTGCCACAGCGTCTCTAGTGGACAGGCGCTTAAGGGATAGCGGATTGATAATCTGGGGATCATTTTCCGGAAAAATCACGCCAGGGAAGCTGGCACAATTGATCCTTAGCAGTGTCCTCACCAAGCCTGGTCGATCGCCCCACGTAGAATGGTTTCGCCAGAAGGGAAGCAAGCGAACATTAGGGCTTTTAGTCACTCTTCACTCCCATCTGCCGTACAGAAGAGCTTGGAGTGGGATTGCAGCATTCAACATGCCTATCCAATGGTCAGGCGTCTATTGAGGATAGCCCTCTAGAGGCGCGAAAGCTGGGTTGGAGCAGATCAGGGGTAGATTCACGAAATAAGCGTACGCTTGGTGCCATTTTAACTGACCCCAAGCTCATGGCCAAGCCGATTGTCGTCATAGCCCTTTGTGCCCACTAAAGCATGCCGGTGCAACCGACTGCGCCTCCGGACAGTAGTTTTTTATTCGACCACAGGCCCCTCGTCCAACATCGGCAGTGACGCCCTGGACGAGGCAAACCTCACATGCAAGCAGCGTACAAAGTACGCAGAGCTATCAACGGTTATCTCTGCAACAGACGACATAAGTGCAGCCATGAGCTCCTCACCAAATCCACAGCCTCTGAACCGGACTGAATCAGATGTGCGGGGACAAGCAGTGAAGCCAAGCTCCAGCTCCACTGCGTCAAAAGTGGCCTCTCTGCTTGTGGGCACAACCGTCGCACAGAACCCCGAAAGCCAAAGCCATAAACGTGATCATAGCCAACCGAAGAACCCCTCGTAGATTCAGTTGGCCAAGCCGATCACCGGCGGATCGCTCGTCCACACAAACTCGAGAGAAAAGCGAATGCAGCCAAAAACGCCCTATAAGATCCGCCAGGTTAGAAAACTGCTGGCTGGCTTCAAGGTGCAGACCTCCGCAAAAACGAGCCTCATGGGAGCGCCAAAAAATGCATTACTTGTTGGTACCGCCACCCAGCGCTCAGGGCCTCACAGAGACAATATTGCTCAAACCGCGCCAAAACACCCAAAAATCCACGAAGGCAAAAGTTTGCGGCAAACATTTGATAAACAGCAAATATGGTGTCCAAAAAGGCGGTGCTGAAAGTGCTACAAGCAGCACTGGTCGAAATTTTTTCCGACGAGGGAAGAACCTCCGTCCCTCAAAGCCAAAAGCCTGGGCAAAACGGGCTCTCACGGGGCGAAAAGAACCTTGCACGCGAAAAGCATCCCCAGGAACCACCAAAACAGAAAGCAGACGATATTGCCCCAGAGGCCCCTTCGGAGCCTTGGATTCAAACTCGGCGCACAACTATTGAGACTGCTAACCTCCCTGGTCACCTAACTTTCGGCCCCTCACCCTCAGAGGCAGCAGAGACGGCGTTGAAATGCTTGTCCACAAACTGCTTCAGTCTTTTCAACAAACTCTACGATATTAAAAAGTCAGCTTACCGACTGCAATCGCACTCATAGAGACCTGGCTCACACCAGATGTCTCTGACGCGGAGATCTCAATAGACGGTTACTCTATTTTTTAAGCTGACTCAAAACGACAGAGGGCTGGTGCGATTGCTCTGTACTTACGTGTGGCCCTGCCAATCCCGATTGTCATTTCTGATACCACTCCCGCACCTTTTTTGATGCACTGTAGGTCCAAATTTCGCTGCGTGGGTCCGATTCTATCCTTCTGGGTGTGGTCTACCGTAGCCCCTCGAGTCACCCTGAAAATGACCAATTCCTCATACGAACACTTGGGCAAATCTCGTCCACCCACCACTTCAATGATCTCCTGCTGGTAGGTGACTTCAACAACCCAAAGGCCTCCTTGATGGAGCTCCAGCGCGTCGGATCAAACGGACTTTCTGCGGCGGCGCTGATTGAAGTCCTTCAACAGTGCTCCTGGACTGAACATGTCGTTGCGCCCACCAGATACCAAGCAGAGCAACTACCATCCGTGCTGGATTCGGTCATCACCAACGAAAAACACTTCGTTGATCAGGTTACAATTAACGCTCCACTGGGACATAGCGACCACTGAGTGCTAACCCTTGATTTCATCCTCTATTGGTCGAGAAATCCGTAACCTCAAATGTGATTTTGAGACTTCTGCCGCGCAGACTTATCAGGAATGCGCACCTTCCTTGAACAAGTCACACTGGGATCAGCTCCGGTGGAAGAAATATATAGGACCATTGTCCAGAAAGTTCGCGAGGCTGACGCGACGTTCGTCCCAGAAAAAACCGTCACGCACTAGGATGAATCGCAGGATGCCAAAAAGGATTCGGCGACTTCTGGAAGAAGATCCCAACTCTTTTTCAAAAAGTTGATTACAGGGGATATGGAAGATGAGCTGGCATTTTGTAAAATGCGGAACCTCTTTAGATCAGTAATCCGCCAATGGAACATACGAAAACAAGCCACCATCCTAGGCCTCGTTCGGAAAAACAAAAACGTACTCTTCAAATACATGAGACATCGCCGCAGAAACAAGCCATCCGCGTTCTCCTTGAGGGACAGGAACGGAGAACCCACGAGTGACCCAACAGTGCAGTATGAGGTTTACAGGGAACACTAGGCCCGTCTATATTCAGCCCCAGCCTCCTCGTCACATTCACTCTTGTCGACGCGGACCTACGAACAGCATCTTACCGACTTGGTCTTCACGGTGGAGGACATTCGTCAATTCTTGCACAAGATCAACCCATTATGCGCTTTGGGACCCGATGCAGTCCACCCAAGGATCCTGAAAGAAATGTTATGTACACTGGCAAACTATTCCTACCTGGCGTTTCGTTATTCGCTTGACGAACGCCGACTTCCATCTGCTTGGAAGGCAGCGATTGTCACGCCAGTCTACAAGACTGGTGACCGACTATTGCCTGGCAGCTATAGGCCTATAAGCCTCAGTAGCGTGCTGTGCGAGGTGATGGAACGCATTCTGAAGCGAGCTTTCCTAGATTACCTTACTTAGACCAATCTGACATCACCAGCTCAACATGGATTTCTCAAAATCCGTTCGTGCATAATGAACGTGCTTGTGTTTATGGACAGCTTAACCCAAGCCAAGCACGAAGGACTCATATCGGGTGCCATATTGTTCGATTTCTCAAAAGCATTTGATAGGTTCCAACACGTCCCGCTGTTCCACAAACTCGAGTCTTACGGGATTCAAGGGAGAATCCTTCGCTGGATCAAGGCGTTCCAATCAGACAGATCATCCCGAGCGAGAATAGGTTTGAACTACTCTTCTCCAGCGCCGGTCTCCATTGGAGTTCCTCGAGGCTCCGTCCTGGGACCACTGCTGTTTCTGGTCTACGTCAACGACCTCCCGGACGTTCTTGCGAGTACATGTCTGCTGTTTGCGGACGACTTGAAATACTGGACTTACAATGCCAGTGCCCTCCAAATGGATGTAGACGCTGCCAACCAGTGGTCGTTGCACTGGCACCTTCCTCTGAATGATAAAAAGTGCGTCCATATGTCATTTGGAGGAGACTCAATGAATGTCCTTGTCATGAATGGTGAGAAAGGACCAGAAAACATCATGAGGGTAGACGCCAAAACTGATTTGGGTATCTCGGTCTTCTCAAGCTTGTCCTTCTCACTGCACCATGAGAAATTAGCCCCAAAGACATTCGCCATTTTACAGATTATCCGACGCACCTTCTCCTGTGTTACTCGCATGGACTTCCAAATACTCTATGGGGCCTACGGCAGACCGCTCCTGGAGTACGCGAACAAAGTTTTCCATTCAATACGCACGAAAGACGTCACCCTCATTGAGCGTGTCCATCGAGCCGCCATGAGATTGTTTGCCAGCCTCAAATTCATGAACCACGAAACGCTTCTCGCGATGCTTGATTTCTTCCCCCTGGAGTTCAGTCGCCTTCGAGGGGACCTAATTCTTACCTATGTCCTGTGTGAACAAAGTCAGTCTCCTTCGAGGGGACCTAATTCTTACCTATGTCCTGTGTGAACAAAGGTTGGCAAACAGGCTTTTCACCGCTGTCCCAGCAAGCACATTTCGGGAATATAGTAAGAATATTTTCAAGCTCAGAGCGCACACATTCATTAAGCAAACATTTTCTCATTTCGCCTAGTAGCTGCGTAGAATGACCTTCCTCCGGCGATTGTCCGCGCTTCTTCTAGAACCCAGTTCAAAGTACCACTGGAGATTTATTTACGCGAATCCCCGTGGTGGCAAGCATACTGCCTTGCGCTGAGAACATAAAGAGCAGCGCAACACCCTTTTTTCACCTGTGCCTTTCAGGTGAACGACAGCCACTGACCGACAAGAACAAAGCCGACCCGGGAACCTTGGGCGAATGCCTCGACCTCGTGTATCAATCCTTAAATCCGTGTTTAATCGGATGACATCCTGGTTACCTGAAAGCGCAAATTCAAATATGTCATCCGTAGTCGCGCACGTGAAGGCTGAGTTGAATGACTATGAGGTCAGAGTAAATAAAAAACTTTACGCCTGGTTTCAGGTTGTGGAAAGCCTTGGTGGTGGTAGGCAAGGGACCTCTTTCAAGATAAAGTCTATCCGTACGGGTCGGTTTTACGTGTTAAAGATGGTCAGTTCCGCCTATCACAGCAAGGTTACTGAACAATATACATAATAGATAGAGTGCAGAGATCGTTACATGGCAGAGCTGTTCTTCAGAGATATCATGCGTTTCTGCCGCTTCAAGCACGCATACGTGCCCAGAATATCTGAAGCATTTGTTTCAATTAATGCCACGGTACGGCGTTTCAAATTGTACTGAGGTGAAATAGACACGAGCTGTCTACTTTTCAGTTATCCGGCCATATATTGATGCCCCAAGTCTTACCTCATACCTGGAGAAATACTTTATGAACAAGTGCATTGAGAGACGGATAATATTTCGAACGTTCGGCTGTTTGTTGGACTTTTTGATCCGACTGAAGTCATCAGGATTCCAGCACATGTATTACTTGGGAAATTTTATACTGTATTCACTTGTACTTAGGAACCTTCATCCCAACAATATCTTCATTAATGAATCAGAAGCTTATACGACAGATTGCTGGTCAATCAATCTGGAAAATTATATTCGCGGAACTGACTTTTTTCAGCTGGGTACGTTTTTAATAGGCGATTTCAACTTATTAATGCGGCTGTTTGTTTCGTACCGTTTTACGGACATCGCAGGTATCACAACTGTACCCTTGTTTCATATATATAGCATGCGTATGAGCAGGGACAACACTGACCACCGATTACGAGTTTTCACGAGCAAGCAGCACGATCATTAATTACGGCTTTGAGATACATTGAAATGAGAGCTATATTACTGGCACTCGAGGCACAAATTTGATGTGCTGCTATCGGAGAATTGACTACGTTGTGAGATCGGGTGTAATGAATCTATTTTATTCAGTCGAACTTTGTAGTGTCATTATTATTCACAACATAATCTTAGTGTTCAATACTGCTGCTTCAATGCTGCACAACCACGATTAGCTTGAAATGACAAATGTAAAGGAATGAATGAAATCTGAAGGGGAAAGGACCTGTTATTAGCCTATCTCAATCAATTTGAAATGCTAAACCTCCAAGTACACAATCAGGCGCGGCGGGCACAAATTAACAGCAAAAAGCTAATAATGTTGAATTAAGACTACATACTCCGGCGTTATCAACCAGGTAAAGTGAGAATGACGTAGTAATCATTCTTAGTGGAGTCAAATTGATAGATACCAAACCTTTGGTGATCTCTTTCACATCCTTCCCCGGTTCGAAGGCTGACCACCTACGTACTTCTGCTACTCTGAATTGGACATGAATAGCACATTTCGGTAAATGGTGATTAGGTGCGTGTAGTTAATGGCTTTTGCTACTGAAAACTGGTCTAGGTTTAAGTCCCCGTTGCACAACCAGACACATTTATTCCAGTTGATTGGTTATGGATTCACTGGCTCCAACCTACACGAGCTACGTTTCCGAGACTGGAAGAGGTCTTATTTTTGCTGCTTGAACAGGCAAAGTTCAGCAGTAATACAAAAGTTGTCCGTACAGTAGCTTGATACATCCTTTGAAGTCCAGGGTATTTCCCTTGGAAGCATTGGAATTAGCAAACGCAACTCCAGGCCTAGTGTGACCTTATCGGTCACGCTGCTAATACAACTTCCAAGGTACGTTGGGAGCCCCACAAATCCGAACGGTTCCCCCTCGATCGGTTTATTCGGTTTATTCGGTGGTTTATTGGGTGACTGAGTCTCCAGTCGCATGATCGTACTATTGTAGGTGCAAAGCTTATGTCAAGAGAAAGGTTAGTTCCTCCAGAAACATCTGCACCTTGTTATCCTCTTTGAAAAAAAGAAGATTGTCCTGTGCATGTTTCGAAACTACAAGACTCTCGCCGGCAACTTTATGAGGACATCCAAAAGTTTGTCTTATTATCACGTAGATAAATAGGAATGGAGGGAGTGGCGAGTATCTTGTCTGACACCACTTTGTTTACGAAAGCCTTTGGAGATTACTTCGTATTCTCTCACACGCTAGGTAGTCTAAGAATGCAAAAACCTAATTGCAGTCCGAAACCACCAGAGTGTTCCCTGCTGGATAGCGGTATCAAGGATAACATATCTGTCAACTCGGTCGATTTTGTGAGGCCTGATATTTTTCGAAATCATTGTTGCTGACGAAAAAACGGTTGGAGTATTTTCTAACAGCACGATGGCTATCACGGATGACACCCTTTCAAAGCCCAACCAGGATGCTACTCTTAGAATTAGATTGGACTATTCGCAAGATATCTGGGGTTAGATCTTTCCAAACTGCTTTTGTTTACCTACAAATCATGAGTAGTTAAGTTGCAGTTTTCATTCAAGTAACAAAATATGGAACATTAATAAACGCTTAGGCGTCTGGTACTTGTCAAGAGACCGTTCGCTAATTCTATTAGTAATGGAATTTAACACAGCATGCGCAATTTGTTTATTCTGTGGCTTCAGCATAATGTAGATGAAACACTTGTATACTGGCCCTGCCAATCGTCTCTCCAAATTTCGATTTGTCCATCCAGTCCCTGCCGAATAGAGACATGCCATCATTCAGTAATTTAATGACTGATCTTCTCGTCCTCCGGAATCAAAATCTTCAGTTTATGCTGGACTCAGTTAGAGTAGCTTGAAACTTGGTCTTGTTAGGTCTGTCACTTTAACTTCACCATCTATTTCGACATTCTCCTTTTGTACCAATCAGTGCTGTTTAGATAAGATTGTGGTACCTTGCTTAGTTGATCAAAATGTATACTGCCCAAATTACCAACACAAAGATTCTTGCGACTCTAAATGTCATGAATGTTCAATAGGTCCATTTTTGTAGGAATGAAAACCCTATCCCTAAAACCAGTTAAAATGGTCAAGCTGTCCACTTGCAGATAAAAAGGGTCCAACTCGGACGTGTAGCAATTGTTACGGCTTCCTCATAGATGCGTGAATTTTGTTTCCTTATTCGCTTGACACCAAGTCTCTCGAAACTAAACGAAGTGAGACCCTCAGCAGGATGCCTGTTTGATTCACTTATTTGTTAAAACATCATGCTTTTTAAACGTCAAACTATTTTTCTTAAGAATGTGTTGATGTATTATATTACAAGAGCTGGTTGCCATAAGGCAATATTTCCAAAAAAAACTATTTCAACTGTTTTTTCCGAGATTACGAACACTAAGAGAAAGCTCAAGTACACCCAGGTGAGACATGTGGCATTTGTTTCGCCTTCTTTGGTATACAGACAACATCAGTATTCATTTTACGCCAAGGTAATCTCATCAAAAGGAAGTGTCCTTGATTAATTTCTTCCCCTTTACTATTTCGCTGCCTCACCACCTTCCGGTATCAAGCTGGGATCTTTTGATTAGGAACCGTTCGTTAGGAAAATATATCTTTTGTTTATTTGTGTGTACCATGCGAAAATGAAGTTGTATTGCTTAGCCTGATGAGGGTCCATTAATAACAAATGTGACTCTTTGTACTATCCTTCAGTTTTTGAAAACGTTGTTTCCACAAAATAGAGTTTGCTAGAACGTTATTAAAGCAATGGATGATGAGGATAGTAGCACTTAACCAAGGTGCTACATATAGTGGTGAAAAAGATATCCACAGATACACAAAAGTTTCGTTCATTTGTGCGGGAAGATGGGCGCATCGGCACACACGCAATTTAATTGTGACGTGTTACGCTGAGATCGCATCACCGTGAAACGAAAGCAACAGATTCTACTTACCAATGTAAGTACGCCTCCATCCAGTCAAGCTGGTTTATTATAGTACATAAAGCAGTGAAGTTTGGATGGGCTTTATTTATCGCATAACATGGCGGATGAACGCCATGAAGTGCTCGTAACTTCTAGTTTTAATCAATGCTGCTGATAACGTGTTGAAGACAACTCACTATGCTTAAGCTTTCTGAAAAATAAATAAATAAGCAAAGCGGGCTGCGGATTTCCAACATGGACTCCTTCTGTTGCATAAAGTAAAGATCTACGCAGGTCGAGTAATTAACATTTCAAAATACAGTTTAGATAAATGTGCGCACGGCTTCTTATGCACCTCTTCCTTCATAACCGAGGAAAACAAACTTCAAGTTTCATCCCACTTTGGAGCAAGATTAAACATCCTAAAAAATCCAAAATAAAAATCAGTCTTTTTTGAACCCGTTCACCTGTCATCGGTAGTAAAGTGAGTGGACAGTCTCAGGCTTATTCTTATGAATGCGGAAAACATGGAACTATTACTTACATTATGAAATGTAACTGGCAAATATCTTCAACCAGATTTCCCTGATTTTCAACTCTTAGAGGGGTCTCTTTCACCGAGGCTTTTCCATCGTGATGTGTACAAAGGATAATTGGCGGACACTTTAAACCCATTGGGTTACAAATGAATGGCCAACATGCTGAACACTGAGGACAATCTATGTTCATCTATCAAGTTGTACAATGGTTAAAATATGTGGGAAAACCCGAGGTCAATTCATTTCACTCATGAAAATGAAGATGCAGGGGCCACTTCTTTCGCGTTCAGCTAGACTGTATTTTAGAAGCATCAGTTTCTCAGATTGTGCAAGGTCCTCTTATTTAACATCATGGTCCTAATTGTAAGGGGACAGGTGAATAGACTTTGGTAGATCACTACTGTAGCATAACTAGTGTTCTTCCAGATGCAATAAGCAGCATCTTTCCCTGAAGCTGCTAATCAATTACAGGTCACTTAAAGGTAACCTACCGTCAGGTAAATTGTCCTGTGTTCCATCCGTGCGCAAGTGAAACATGATTTGCTAGCTTACCTCAGCTGGAGTATAAAGGGTAAGCTTGCTTTCGAAAGTTTCGTGTTCGTCTTCACAATTTGCCAAAAACAAGCTGAGAACAATCCCCACTTGAGATATTACGGCTTTATAATGATTCTTCGTCCCGGAGAACAAGTTTAAACAGGAGTTCTGTGCACAAAGTTAACCAGAGTCCTTATCTGTTGTTTGTTTAAATTCGATCCAGAGTTTGACCACCTGTATGACCCGTCGCTGGTGGCGCGTGTCCCCGTTGAGTGTCCGCCAGAGCCCGAATTCAGGAGACGAAAACGTAAGTATATAGGGGTTGTTTACTACTGCTTCCCTTTTTTACTTTGTGCCCTAATAATGCAAGTTTATTTAAGTTTGTGCATGCCATAGTGGTGGTGATCATCAAAGATACAATTCGTGACCTTTTTTACACTGAGGAATTAAAGCTGAGGTTGTTGACTATCATATTTAGATATTAAAAAGTGACTGCCTCCACTTAATTGCAGGCAAACTAATAGGTGGTGTGCAGCACACCGTCGAAATGCCGTCCAGGCATTCTTCTCTTCAGAATCGCCTGCGTAGGGAACCACAGAAGACTCTCCCGTATATTTATATATGACCCCTTGAGGGTACTGGTAGCATCAAGTTCCAGGGAACACTCAAACTAGATGATTTCACCAGTGTTCATATGAAGGGTGTGGTAACTTTACCTGATACCTATGAGTTGATTGTCGAGAAATGATAAGCAATCTCAATTTTAAGGCATTTCAGCCGGAACGAATCGTTCCTTTGATGCTATAATGGGTCACACTGCTGAAGATTGTGTAAGATTCCCCGAAACAAAGGCATTTAAAACCAAGTTTTCATCCCTTTAATTTGAATAGACACACTTAACGGACCACAAAATCTAAGTGGTTCCTGACAATGAAAGCAAAGTCTAACGGTAAATTGAAGGTCAGTGTATTTCCGGTATGTTATTTGTGTACTGCAGAGTTTTCTGAGCATGGCTGTCTACATTCAAAAAAGCGCCACCATTTTTCCTTTTGAAGCCGTTTGAAATTTGGGGTGATGTACTTCGTATGGGAGCATCAGCCAGGTATGGCTGCCGTGAGTTGCCTTTCTCAGAAAATTTTATTATCGATTTTTTAAACTACTCTTATAAAATTTCAGTAACCAAGAGGCACTACTTAATCACAAGTTGCGCGAACCCGAGTTTGAGACTGGGCTGTAGAGCACAACCATGATGGTGTAATTTAGGTAATCCTCATTTTGGAGGAGTCGACGAAATCGTACTACAGCTGTTACTGTAAATATGTTTTGCAGTAAGCACGTAGCTATGATATCTCTCGGTTGGCCGATGATGATACACTCACTGCTGATTTACCATGTGTCACAATGATCTTGTCAGTATCATTCACAGAAGTGACCAGTACGAAGTTGTCTTCGGTTCAAAAAGCGTGAGGCTTAATTTGTACAGTTTGTGACTCAAATGCAAACCTCATGTACGAGTTAAAACTGATTCTTTTACTTAGTTTATCAAGGTTGATGCCGGTTCTTTTTAGAGGTCCGGATTTTATTAAGATGTACACTTTCCTTCTTTCATGGACAAACTTTCAGAAAACTCTTCAAGAAACCCATATTATAGATGAATATTCGCAAGCAAAATCCGAACGTTTTCTTGAATGAAACTAATCACAAGGTTGCTGACAGACTTCTTCGGCAACTCATGGTCAGTGTCACTCATCTTGGGCGACACACACAGACGCAGTCCTCGAGGTTTCGTGAGCCGTATGTTCTAACCTAACCATAGTTGTGAGAAATTTGCAAAGTACAAACCAACCTTACTTAGATTTGGTCGATTAAACTGACAAACAGTGACCACCAACCCTGAGTAAACCATAAAATTACACTTGTTCAGTCTGGACGACAACTCCAGATTTCGATAAAAGACACTAGATTATGCAGATGGTAGTCGATGGAAACATGCTTTTTATGGAACGATGATGAATCCATTACGGTCAAATGCACATTTAAAGATCTATCAACGGTGGTGGTGCTACAAAAGCTAGAATAGTTCTTTAGACCATGGCAGTAAATTTATGCAGCCTATCTCATTGAATAATGAATCTTCACAGCTCGCTTTACTGAGTGGTGTGCACCGGAAGTCGACAATTTCCAATACAACGACCGCAGCGACTTGTGGAGTCTGGCATGCATGATGCAAATAATGTTGAACGTGAAGGATCTGACAGCCGATGATATGAACTGGGCTTTGCAAACGCTGAAGTCCAATCCAAAATCGTTCTTTCCACTCAACAACCAGTCAACTGTGAGTGTTTTTAAAACGATTTTAATAGACGGTTTTGATTGTTTGTACCAAAGGTTTATCGTAGTTTCATTGGAGATTGTTTAGGAACAGTGGTAAATCATTCGAGTGAACCCGTTTGTGTTTGATTGTAGAGAATCTTATTTCCTCCCAGTTCACTGATCTGTGTTTATCGGGTCAATTCATCTGTAAACGGTTGGACAGACACTAGGTGAAATTTACTAAGCCCCGTATTAATGTCAAGTGATGCAATCGCTGTGTACCTCTTGACCTTGGTGAAATCCTACTTGTGCCGTACACGTACACCTTTCAAGTGATTTTAACGTGACATTTACCCAGGTTGCTTGTGTAGTTCATAATGGATCACTGTATGGATTTTGGGGGACATACGGCTGAACGATCGAAAGTGGCCGGTAAATTCGATGAAGTTGACCTGTTCGATCACAAAGCCCATTCCCTGTGAAAAAAACGGTTGTGTTGCGCCTAGGGCCAACGACACATTCTGGAGATAAGCTGCCATTTCTGTTGTAGTTCCATAACGTTGTTACAGTGTTGGTAACGATTCACCAGCGCGGAGAATGTTGGAAGCTCAGGTGGCGCGACTGGCCGCTAGTTTGTTTGATGAGCTGGACAATGTGACTGCAAAAATTTCCTCACCAATCGAGGTGACATCATCAGTGCGTTGTTATATCACCTCTACTGGTGATTAGATGCATGTAATCAGACTGTCCAGCTCAGTGAGCAAACCGACAGTCATTCGTCGTTAACAATATTTCGGCCGCAACATTGGCCCGTCTGCTTCTTTCTCCAGCCATAGGGCTTCACTAGCGCTTCTGTATTAGTCTTATTTGCATGAGGAAAAGCATTCTTCCGCGATCGAAAAATATTACACGTGGAATTAAGTCATATAAAATTCGGTTTTAGCGCATCTTACGTTGCCATTTTGCTAATCGTACCATCAATCGCTCATTACACGTTTCGATAGATACGTATACTATCTTGGAGCTTTTACTGTTGGTGGTAACTTTGACTTCGACTGTTATAGTTCATTTTCTGCCCAATATGAGACAGGTCCTTTCCATTCTTTAGGACGATGAGGTGAAATTCGTGAAAATTTTGAACTCTATGCTCGAACCGGATCCTGAAAAACGGATGAGCCTGGAGTAAGTGAACGCGCCGTTTTGCATCCAGTCCAGGCGTGACCTCCTAAAACACTCAGTGTAACGGGTGAACGGTATCTTCGAGTGACGCGTAATACCAGAAACTCCGCGTAGGCAATACAAAGTCGGAGCTGGGTTTCTATACGGTACTCGATAGTAGATACGCGTCCAAAACAAACGGTCCACTTGGACTACAAAAGTACAAACCAAGGGAGCAAACAGGCTCTCACGTGCGACAGTCACACGTGCAAAGTCGGCTACAAATGGTCATTTGACCTCAAGGCCAAATGGGTGACGTGGTAAGGACAAACAAACGTCACTTCATATATGCACACTAAACACAAAAGTGGGGCAGGGGTTACAAAGGGGGAAGAGAGTAAACGTAGTGAATTTCATTGTCAACGTAACAGATGATACACTCAGGCTATCTAATTAATGTTTGAGCAACAATATGAATTTCGCCTGCTTCATCGCCTTGTTTACGTAGATACAATGTGTTGGTTGTGTGGCTGTGGGGCACTGCAGCTACTGATAACGGTTTCGATAAAGTTGCTGTCGGCCGTTGTATGTCATCAATCAATACCCATCTGGATAAGTTATATTTACCAGTTCAAACTCTGGCTAAAATTGGCCAGGCTGCGACAACCCACACTGAACAATCTTTGATGTTTTTCAGTCGCAGATTAACGAAGTTTCGCAATGGTACACGGCAGAAGAGCGGATAAGCAATCACAATAGTGGATTTAGCGATGATTGTTCCATCTTGATTCGAAATTTTTCCAAACAAGGATACAATGGTTTGGCTATTGATTTTGATATACTGTGCCCAAGTATATCATCCAGTTTGAGCTTATACTAATTTTATTGCCTAAGAAGCAGCTCTTGGTGGGAAAAGAACCACACGTTTACTGTCTTCATTGATCTAAATGGGTCATTCCTTGAATCCAAAACTATTGAGTCTTTGCTATTACGTTCTGGTGGCATCTAAGCACTCGACGAATGGCTTACCAATTTGGTATTCGTCGAAAGAGTGGCTGTAATCTTACAGAACACAAATGACTGTTTTCCCGCTTCATGAGAATAGGAGTTCCTATTATTTAGGTTAATAAACTTCGTAGAGGAGATCTATACAAACATCCGGTTTCAGCTTTCAAAAGTCATGACCTATCTATCCATTTTAGACAGTTAGTGCAAGACCCTTTCGTTGAAGCCATTCTTGAGCAGGCAGATCCAGAGTCATTGGCGCGCGCCAATCGCTGCATTGTGCGTATGGCCGACCGTGAGTGTCCATTTATCTTATTCCGATTTTGGTTTGTTCTCTATTTAGCAAACAATGTACCGTTGTTTCCAAACAATTTCGTCTCATCACTGCGTGTAAATGTTCGTGCTTTTAGAGCCTGATCAGGACGGCTTATCTGTACCATTCTTGTTAGACAAGAATTTGATGGGCTTTTGTGGATATCTGGCTTCAGCTTGACCTGAACTTCAGTGCATTATAACACATGACTTGGGAACTAAAGCAGCACTGCGGGGGGACAAAGACCACAGAAAAAATATTAAATGAGGAAGCAGAAGGAATCTGAAATGTATTCACATCGTGTACTATACGTAAACTTCGGATTTCAATCAGTCTGTACCCATTCGGAGAACAACTGTGATGTTTTGCGCAAATAATATGACATACGTTTATTGAGGATCGACGAAAAAACGATTTTCATCATCTGCGGGTCACGTAGTCAAGCGAAAATCGCACTGTTTGTCAAAAGCTTCTTAGGTAGAAATGTACTCCTATAAGAAGCATTTCTCTAAAAGTAAATGCGCACTGCATTCGCCGTGCAGTGGGCGCATACCCCTTGATTCCCAATCTGGGAAATTAAATCAGCTGATGGTAACTTTGTCCTCAATCCGAAAACGATTTTCATAGATGGTAAAGTATAGCAGGTGAACACATTCATAGACATGTGTGTTATTATATCCCCCAGTGGATATACAGAGGTTTGGACTGGCTTTGTTGGCCATGTTAGAATTCCTTCTACCCATAATGGCTTTATGAAAAATAAACGGGTAACATACTACTCATAAGGTTGCTGAAAACCTTTTGACAGCCGACGACCGGTTTCACGCTTCCTGGGGCTCATCAGGCAGGTGTGGTCCCAGAGTTTCCTTCAATCTTATGTTCTAACCGAACCAAATTGCACGAAATCAGGAAAATACACTCATTTGCATACAATTTGGTATCGACGGGAGATTCACCTGGAACCAAGCTGAATCTCTTGTTTGTGTTTTTAAGCAACTGAGTGTGCTTCTTCAGACCGCCTCACTTTTCATTTGGCACTGCATTGGAAATATTGTGACATACTAACTGGTTCTGTCGTCAAATAAAGCTTATCTGGAAACGAATTTCTCCGCACTACTTCCAAAATACCATCACTGGTGATCCAACCAGAAACACCGATGGGGGTGAGTGAGTTAACAAATTTGGTACTCTGGGAAGTAGGCAGAGTTCTGTTACTCTAGTGAGCTACGGTAAAGTCAAATAAAACGCAGCGGGAAACCCGCTCAACTTCAGAAGGATCTGCAATACACTTTTGATTTCTGCGTTGTCTATTAAATACTATTATTTGTTCAATTCGGTGACCGATGGTGAGATTGGTCAAAGGAGACCTTACCAGAGAGATGGATGCAGCTGAGAATCGTGTATATTGAGACCAGGGTGGCTTGTTGCTGAGGTGACGAATCAAAACCGCCCTTGGAACCAGAAAATTACCGTTCCGCCGTAACACCGTTTCTGTGTCTCGGTGCGGCATATAAGAGGCAATTGCGATAGCTGAGTTATTGCCAAGTTTTCCAAATCTAGCAGGAGCAGTCAAGACGCCGTTGTTGTGCTCGAGGCTCCAGATTGGTACTTTCTTGCATCTGGGTCAAAACCTGGAACCTAATTACTCCTCTGTGATTAAATCAACCTGGGAATGTTGTATTCGGCTGTCTATGGTACCGAGTGACCCGGCCTCCACTATTCACTTGATGCGATACGTTTCGGATCTGTAACAAGGTATTTTTTCCTAAAAGTGAATTGCAGAAGCCAGAAGAAGGTTCCGCTCGCCGCGAAGAAAGGTTCAGCATCTGGGAACAATAAGCGAAAGATGAGTAAACAAGGCGTGCTCGGTTGTGGAAACTGCCAACAAGAGGAAAGATCTACTGTTTCACATCACAATGGGTTTGCTCATCATCCACTTTTTCTGGCAACATCCCCTGAACAAATAATATATGCGGATATTTGACCGCAGTCCTCCCCTCACATCAATCGGATCATCTATTTGCTTTCTTGCTCACGTCCTTACTCCGTTATTAGTGTGGTCAACCTTTGAACAGGCACCGTGTATGAAATATATCACGTTGGGTCCCAAATGGTCACACGTGTGTATGGTAAGAGTCGTTGCAATATATGGCTATTAATCGATGTAAGTGGCTCTCATGTTGTTATTTTCTATTCAGAGTGTCCAAGTGAGTGTCTGCAGATGCAGGCACATCGGAATGTCTGTATAGACTGGCAGTAAGTCATTTAGCCGTCCGCTTATATTCCTTTCTTCACAATAAGGCTTCTAAATAAATTGTGGCAGTGTGGCAACGAAGCGTCAGTGTTGAAGATGGTGTTACGCTGTCGATGGTCAGGATAACCAAGAGTGGATTTAATTGCTTATTTGTTTACGTCGAGGTTTTAAAACACCAAAGTGTTTTTTATTCAGCTCAGCGCATTCCATTATACTGATTATTCCACTTTTTTGCTTCAATTTTCAGGTTTGCTTCCGGCCGAAGATGGAGAGCGAGCCGTTCGTGACTACTTGATACGCAACTGGCGCCACGAAAATTGTGTAGAGGGAGCAGTTATATGGTTTGCGGAACATTGTTGTCATTCGAATGCTGGGCTCCCTCCACACTTGTCTGGTGTGCTTTTCAATGTGTTAGACCTTCACAAGGCCAACGCGAAGCTGGTACACAACACGCTCATTGTGTTAAATCATTGTGTCTATCTCAGGTATACTGTTATAGAACTTCCTTCTCCCAGTACTGAATCAAGAACCGCTGAGAATGATCAGAATGAAGCGAAAGAATTTAAATATAGCTTGGAAAATGAAGATTTTGTAATCATCTTGAATGCAATGAAACAGCATCCACAGGACCAGGTAATACAAGAGGCAGCGTTGAAACTCCTCGATTCGTTGCTTGGAGCATCACACAGCAACGTTGATGTAGAGGTTGTCCGAAACTATCTAGCCACCCGACAGCATGTCTTCGATCATCTTATAAAAATTGGCCTCATTACTTATCTACTGGAGCTACTACAAAGTCACATGTATGAACTGGCAAGGTTAGGCGCTGAATATTTGTGGAAATACTGTTTTTACGGTAAGAAGTTAGTGTTTCTGTCATCAAACTGAATTATGTTCTATTGGAATGTAAGCTACGGTGAAAGTTATCAAAAATTACTTTACAAAACTGTCATGCCGGGAAGATTTCAGTACTACCGGAGGCTAGCATCTTTGTGCACTGAATTTTCGGGCCTTTTTTGAAATAGAACTTCAAGTGTTTTCTCTGCTTATCGGTATGAGTTTAAAGGGGAACAAGCATATCAATCAAAGCAAAGGAGCTTTGTGCTCGATCTCGAACAAGAAAATAAATGTAAAGAGCCAAAATCCTTCAGAACCTTGTTAAAATTCGCTTCAGATTAATGCGCAGATCAGTTAGTCCTTAGATTGCAAACTGTCTACAGAAGTACAGTAGTACCGGCACTTACCTCTCTGTTCGCCGAATGTAAGCAGAACAGGAGAACGGAAACCACAAACTGTAGATGATGGCCCAGCCTGTTCATTGATTTAAAAAGGTTTCGTTTGTCTGGTTCGGTCGGCAGTGAGAGAGCTAGACAGGAAAGTCGACTGCATTACTGCAAAGCACCATTAATGGGGTGATACAGAGTAAATTGAAGTTACTTGCTTTTCCGAGCACTGTAAATGAGATATTGCATAAGCGAAGTTTCCATCAGCCAGAATGAGTCACAGAACTGAACATTCTGCATTGAACATCGGCTGCCCAAGGACAATCTTTGTGATTGTTAAAACAGTGAAAAGTTTTATAATATTCTTGGTTATCAAAAGTTCTGGCTAACTGGAACAGCAGTTCCAAATCACATAGAGAATCTTGTCACAGACAGAAGATTTGAATCACTTTAGGGTTTTAATAAAGTAACTGGTTATTTTTCACGCTGTTAACTCACTGACAATTCCACTTTCCCAACAGCCCCAATTGCGAGAATGGTTGGAGAGAGCAAAGCTTTGATCACTGTGCTTTATCTAATGCGCAATTATCCTGAGGATATTAAACTATTCACTGGCGGACCGCTTCTTATACTGGCCTTATCATCATGTGGTAAGTAAATGGGCACTAACGATGCAGTCGGCGTAGGCCTGTTTACCGGTTTTTCACTCGTAAATCCCAGCCCTTATCAACGGTATCTCTACAGATTGTCGCATTGCGCACCCTGGATGTTCAAAATTCTACTCACTATTCGGTTTTCATTTCATCGTTGACAAAAGCGAATTTTCAAGGTATCCCTTGGATGTCGTTTGACAGTAGGGCACTTTATTGTTCAGTATCGAGGTTTTTCTGGAATACGACAACGACGTCAACGCCAGTGGTGATTATATCAAAGGTGGGAATGATAGGGGAATGTTCAGTAACTGTACTAACTTCCGTTATACTGAAACTGCTTTCACCCGATTTTAATTGAATTACCTGCTGTGCTTTGTAGAGTGGTTATCTTTACTTCACTGATGATAGTGATTTATGCTGTCGGCGATAACCGGCATAGCTTAAGCTATCTCGTTTCCCCAATACGGCCATAGAAAATTATCGGGATCCCCTCATCAATCAATATAAATGTTCAAGCGATTATAGGAAAACATAAAACGAACACCAGTTATTCGTGCCTAGTAAGTGGGATAGCGTAAGGCTACAGAACAAACTGGGAGCTTTTTGATAATATTGACCGCATTAAGATACTGTTTCCTACGAACAATCCTCCAAAGATTTCATCAGCTAAGATACCAACTTTTCCTCTATACCAAACACTGAGAGAGCTTTACCCATTGTTCAACTCACCTTATTGGGAACAGAAGTGCGTTTTCTGTCAGCTGATTTCAGCTACCTGACTACTGTTGAGTGGTTAGATTGTATGAATAGAAGTTAATCTTGGCAGCAGATCTAAAAATGAATGTGCATTCGGGTTAGAGTTTCACGGGGTGTTTAAGGTACTAGTCAGGTTAAACCCTGAGGCTTTTCAACCTTATTTGTAGTCATCAGGTGAATGTGGTTACAAGTCATGTAACCTTTCTGTTAGGAGTAATGGTCCGTAGACTGCAGGAACACGCGTCCATTGTAGTTGTTGCTTGTTACGGCGGTAGCCCAGCTGAGGCGGTTACTACCTTGGTGTCAGCGATTAATCGCCTTGATTACTCAAGAGAATTGACCCTCTCTCGTTCTGGGTCTCTATTTCTTGGACCAGGTAACACTGTGAGCTTAGACCAGGAAGCAGATCCTTGCTTATAACACAGCTTCATCCTTGTGCATTCGATTGTTAGCTATCCCGACTTCTCTTCAAAAAGAAAGTAACGAACCAGTTCTTAGCGGTAAGCATTTGGGCCTTTCAACAAAGGGTTTAATTTTCACTTATTCTACTGGCTCTCAGGGCGCATTATGAAAGTTTTTGCTGCATTCCAATAATGGCGCATAAGAAAGGGGTGTACATTCCGAATAATTACTCTAAAATGTGTTCGAAGTTTGATTTATACGTATATTCTTACGTACGATAAGATAAACGTACTGGCATGATGCAATTACCAGATTACAGCAGTCACAGCTATCATAATAACCGGCATTTAACTTTTCTAGAAGTCATGTGCCTTTTACAGGTGCGCCTGTTGAATTCACCTAGCTTCACTGCCTTTTAAACTCACTCAAGATACATTGTGCTTACCGACTGTCCATTAGTCATAGTCAGACTATCTTTGCAAGCTGTAACAACGTACAACAAAAAACCTTGCTCGGCAATCCCACCCGATACTACTGAAGGTCTGTAAATTTACCATGCTGGTAGTCGTTTACGATTATATGGGCGTTGGTTGCGCTCGCGCACAACTTTTCATTGGGCACGGTGAACACTGGCTGCTTATTCAGATTACACTGTGTGTGTATGCGTGTAGAGAGTTCTTCGTTCTTCTTTGACTGGGTTGTTTAAACTGGCTTAGTAAGGATAATATTTTTGGACGATCTGCAACCAGGTAATCAGTGTAGCTTTATTAAAGAAATAAAATTGACCCGGCTACTTCAACCATAGGGGTATGGGCCCCACTCCAGTCGTAACGCGAATAATACCTTCGGTAACACTGTGACATCTGACGTCATCATACGAGACGGAAGCAACAGACTACCAGGGCAGGGGCGCATTGAACACATTACCTTAGATAATTGTGCCAAAGTTCAACTGTGGCGGCTTTCCTTGAACCCGAAGAAAAGATTTGGGGACCACCAGAAAGGAATGTACACAAATGTTTTGATGGTATTCTTTACGCCATCTAATCCCGTAGTTCTAGTAAGGTTAGGATCTACAATGAGCTGTCTTAACGTCCATACACAATGAACCCGAAGAAAAGATTTGGGGACCACCAGAAAGGAATGTACACAAATGTTTTGATGGTATTCTTTACGCCATCTAATCCCGTAGTTCTAGTAAGGTTAGGATCTACAATGAGCTGTCTTAACGTCCATACACAACTAATTGGATTCTCCAAGGTTGTAACTGCCACATTTTCTTTCAGCGATGATTCGGGGAGGTGGGGTAGATAGCTGCACACCGGAGGCGGAAGCCGATAAATTCTTGCATCAATACAGCGTCATCAGTGGACTGTTAAGTGGGGGGATTTGGAAGGTGTCATCAGTGGACTGTTAAGTGGAGGGATTTGGAAGGGAGCTATGCATTGAAGACAATAGCTTGGATGCACGAGCGCCATTGGGGCGCGACTGGGTCAAGTCTGATAACGTCTCAAACGATTGATGTGGTCCGTCTCGAAATCACCATCCAGGAAGACGGCAATCACCAGCGCAGCTGAGTAAGCTGATAATGACTTTTATACTTCGTTGTCAAGTCATTGTTTGACCGCCTCTGGCTCGCTTCTGGTTGTGCGAGAAGGGCCCTTCGAGGAAGTTGGTCGACTGACAAACTTGATCTGAACCTGCTATTGGTCTATTTGAGCAAAGCGACTACTGGTAGGTGCTCGGATTGTTTTACATAAATAGTCACCATTTCTGGCAGAAGGTCTCATAAATACCAACTCATCGGCTTAGAATCCCCCAAGACATAACTTCGGTCCCTGAATAGGTCTGATTTTAACCTAGTTTTTTTCAGCTTAAACAACTGATTCAACACTTGGAAACTGGGTAACAGAATACCTTGCGGTATGCTTTTCGCGAAGGTTGGTCAATAATCGCTATAGCTGGTGAGAAATGTTTTGTCTCTTCGCTTCATTAACTGGGAGTTATTTTGGTTTACTTTATTGCCCAAGTTACTGTATTGAAATTCTTTTGTAGAAACAGTTCGGAAGAAGCTGCTAGCTACGTCCGACGTCGTGCCGATTCTGCTACAGGGTCTGGACCGATTCAGCAACTGCCCAGATACAATTTGGAATATATGTCTTGGCCTGAATGTAGTGATTAATCTGTCTGGTACGTCTGCTGGCCGACCCGGTAGTTCATATGATATACTACATTTTATCCTTGAATAACCAGCAGGAATCTGCGATTGCTATTAAAATATTTTCCAGCTAGCATGTCCACTAAAATCAGTTTTAAAAATTACGACGAAGGTACACACAGCGAGGTTTCTTGAATTAAATTCAAAGCAGTTCTTTTCGGATAACGATGATTAACAGCTACATTCTGTGTTGTTATCCAATTTCATAGACATCTTTGAATTCAGACGAATATTTTCAATTCTCAGGAGCGTTTCTTTTTGTATATAGTTTTTCTTGCTGCCGTACATATCGTAGGAGCGTTTTTGTATATAGTTTTTCTTGCTGCCGTACATATCGTATGTAACACACAAACGGTATCCACTCTATGTGAGATTAACCGACCGTTTTGACATTTCTTAAATAATCTTCGGATCGCAGATTACATTATTACTGTTCCGCACATTTAAAATCACCTCCTTTTCAAGTTTGAAAATGCACTGTCAACTTCGTACTTGAAGCTAATTCCTCAATGCTTAGCGTCACATTACTGGCCAAAGGCCATGTGGAGTCACTGTGTCATGAGTTCTTCCATGTCAGATCTAGTGTTTCAAAAGTGCTGTTTCCTTTGTAGAGCATTTTGCACTGCATTTTGTCGGGATTGATGGTGAAACGGAATACCAAACCGACGGGTGTGGTCTGCTGCATGCCCTGTACAGAACCTACCACGATAGTACAGCTATTATTGAAGGATTAATGCGAGTGATCAATGCTGTGATGCAATATGGTAAGTTTAATATGGAAAACGGTTGGTTTATAGGTAACTGGAAGCGGGCAAGCAATCTGATCAACCTATTTCATTCATATCTACTTCAAGCATCATTTTGATGGATATGTGTTGCTGACATCTTTTAAGGGTCACTGTCCGTGGGAAGGCTAAAGCACTCTTTTACCAACTGGAAAAGAAAAAAAGGGATATTTAATGATTGACTAACTGCATGATACTGGAGGTATGTCAGTTTTAAGCCCAATAAAAGTGAGTAGGTCGCAAATGGCAGACGTGAAATGGGAGGTGGGCTTGATAAGCCAATTAAGTTACCAAGCCCAGCTGACTACCTATTCAGTGTGAACGGTACGGCTTGGTGTATATTTCTGTTAAACGGGAGGTCATCAAATTTAAGCCACTGCAATAAATGATAATACTGGTGGCAACTGGCTCATGGAATTACTAACCGCTTTGGATAGGTTTTGTTGAGCTTGACAAATGGTCCGAAATGGAGTAACCACCTGCACTGTTTCATCCAGGTAAGCTAAGATGGAATTCTGGGGGTGACAAATACTTCTCAGATCTATCCATTTCGGTAAATATTTCCTGGTCTTTCTAGGAGAACACCGACTCCTGTAACTTACCTAAGTTTATCGCACGCACAACTGTCATCGCTGATGATTTGTCCCTGTAAGCGTAGAGAAGTTGAATTTGAGAAGGGGAGCCCATTTTTAGACACGGATACTTTTGCCATCTTGTTTACCCAAGATATCTCGGTGGCACTGAACTCAATGCTTTACCAAGGTCTTCTGGTCTGGTGATTTGCATGGAAATCGTTATGGAGGTTGAAAAAAACACGAACACCGTTTCTGATGGTAATGGATGGGATACTTGATCTGGCCACCCCAAATTAAATGTACGAATAAGGAATTAAGTAAAGAGGGAGAACAGAAAAGCACACAAAAGCGCACATTTAGGGATGCAGGCGAAAAGCGCTTTACATCACCAGGATTACCAGATCGTTGGCGTCCACAAAGTGTTCGATGTTCTTTGTTGGACAGAGGCTTCAGCCAAAAGACTACTAAAACCAGGAGATGATCATAAATTTAGCCCTCTCCCGTAGAATAAAAGGGTTAGACGAGTAAACTGAACTTGAGAATCTGCGCTGCTGGTCTCTTACCACCATGGTCTCCCGTTTAATATTCATTACTCATGTCCCTTTTGAATCGATTGCTTTGCGTAAATTTTTTCGACAACCGGATCACATCGCACCATCCATATATCCGGCCACATGTTATTCGTCTACCCTCAAGTCCTTCGATACTAACTGGAATTTTCTGGCACATTTAATGTGATGACGGTAGGTAGCAAAGTGGGATGTCGGGAAGTTGTATGTACCCCGTCAAAATGTTGTTTGTTCCCCATATTTGCTTCTAATTCCTTACCTGGCCCTAATGTTTTTGAAGATGTTCATTTAGCTTCCTCTGCTGCAGACATCTCTTCAATGCTACACTGAAACAAGCTCCAAATGTAAACCACTTCCAGGAAGCTTTTATGTCTTGTATATCTGTTCAGGTCATCCATGTGATCTACCACTCCACGGATAGATGCTTTTTATCTCTTCACAAGCTCCCAACAGTGAATTAGATTCGTCGTGACCCTTTGTTCAGAAACAAGCAATTACGCTGCTCCTTAGGGCAATTCACATACCACAAGCAAAGCGCATTAGAATTCGGTAATCACGTTTCCAGTCCCATTTATAAGGATTATTCACAATACACACAGAAGGTCCATTCGGGTTATTCCCTTAAAATTCATAAAAAACTGCTCGCCCGACGGATCCGACTTCACTGGAGCTCTGAATTTTCTACACCTTCAGCCTTTGCTTTCTACTTATAGTCTTTTAGACTCCAGTTAATAGGGAGCTGCATAAACGATTCACCAATAATGCTGCTGGTGACTGTGTGCGGCCAGGAAATGTCTCCCTTACGAACCGATCAACTCTGCAACACATGCTAAGTACATTACGTATATTGCATTACATACGGCCAGTTTGTTACTCCTTCCCCACCGGCAACAGATGATTCGTTTGTAAAACGTATCCAAAGTTGTACTCCTGCAGAGAATCAAACAACCGCCGGTTTCAGCAAAGGTCTGGTGAAACTGGAAATATGGCTCAACACGATTAATATCGAACTGGCTTCCCGATTCAAACCATGCGGCTGCCTACGTTGATGGGATAGCGTGAATATTTGTAGGACTATGGGGCGATGAAGAGACACTTAAAGTAATTCTTGCTGTCTCAGAGTTGAGATGTCTTGTGGACGTTACATTCAAATCCTGAAGTTGTTGTGTAATGCTTTGTGATAGATATTTTTGCCATCCGACGCATGCCACAGATAGTCGCTATTCTACACTAAATGTGGTTGCATGGGTTGATAAGCAAGTTTCGAAATGGATATCTTTCAGTTGCTTTTCTCAGAGAGACAAAATAGCAACAGAAACCTTAGCTCAATGAAGAAAAAATTCTGCCTGTCGCTTTTATGGAAAGCCAAGTGTTTATGTTTGAAAGCAGATAGTAATTACGACCAGACATTTTGATTAGTATCTAACCTGATATCAGATCGCAAATGAAATGACTAGTTTCATCTAACAGACCTTGTTGTCCTCCAGCATATTGAGCAACACACCATAACTGCTTTATTCTTGACTCAGATACCCCCCTTGAAAGTAGAACAAATTTTAACCTCCCCTCTCTTGTCTTTATGTATAGAGACTGTCCGCTCTCTAAACATCTGTCAACATTTCATTTGACATACCAAAAGTTTTATTAATAGCCTCAAAGCAGAATAAGTTGCGTGGGACTTTCCGCCTCATTTGGCGCATCGAATCTCGACAGAAGTGAAATTGAGTGTCTTTTTGGTAATAAAGTTACCAGTAGTAGCGTTTTCAGGTTCTGAAAAGTCCATGGTTCGAGGAAGGGGTGAAAATAGCTCTGTTAGGACTATTAATCACTCATTTTTGCTTGCCATTTTCTTGCGCTCCGAGGCATTGCGCAAATAGTATTATATGAGCATTTATCATCCAAACGGAGTATAGAATAAATTTGACACTTGAAATTGTTGCATCAATTTAATTACGTTTCCTGACAAACGTCATTTCGGCTTCATGTGAGGCTTAAGAAAACTACATGGGTGGGTGCGCTTTAAACAATAAAAATGTGCTCCTGTTCAAAAATTAACTCACCAAGAAATAGCACTCAAGATGGCTCAGTCACTTAGTCAGTTCACCTTACTCATTCAAGTAGGGTGGTGATATCTCAAGTAGTTGGATTTGGTGGAACGGGTATAAACACACATGCACAACACTGTCACTACGTACTAAAAGCGCCTGTTCGACTCTGCAATCTACTGTGCAAACAAATGTGCATAGGTTGGCCAGTTTACAATAAAAAGTTTCACATGGTTACCTATTTGTTTATCTAGATAGAAATAAAGTAAAAACCGGGTTCAGTACCTAGCTTTTAGGCCAGGCCTTTCTAGCAGTTGTTCAGGTTGGCATTTGATTGCCTCAGGTGATATCGATCACGATCCACCGCTTCAATCCTGCTGGATCTTGGATTCTAGTTCTTAATTTTTGTGATGAGAAGTCGGCCATGTCAGCTGCATGCAGCGACGACTGCTGTTTACTTCTGCTGGCGGCGATTGAGGACTCGATCAGGCGTGGTGGTCTGAGTGGTGCTCATCTCCGAATCTTTAGTGAAATCGAACTGGTTTTGAAGAGCTTGAACGATTAGAACACCAATCGTGTTTCATTATGAAATTTCCCTCCTATGCTTGATAGGCAGTCATAATGCCCGACGAAGTCCGGAAAGGCGCTTATTCTCTTGAGCAAATGCAGAGATATACTGAAAATTCGCTGGCTTGGTCCACTTGCAGGCTCCACAAATAAAAGTTGTGGAACAAGGGGGTGATTTCGCCTCGTAGTTCAACACTAATATTGGATGTCACATCAGTAGGAAGTTGTTATATTACAGTTCGATTTATTCCCCCGGTCTCCATCATGCTATGATTTATCCTGTTCATAGAGGATCTGCTTGGAAACAAGAACACACATTCACTCAAGTCAATTCTGAGAACGATTGCCAGTACTCCAGATGAACATCCGGTAAATACTTGGTGGCCTAGCTTTTGCACTGATTTTAGCGGTGAATAATCGTCCGGGTGCGCAACTGTGTGTCTGCGGATGTATTGTGCGTCTGTGCACGGTTGTGCGCCTCGCTGGGCGGTTAGCACACAGCATGCCATGTAGATGAGATTCGGAATCGCTTGCTGCACACTGACAGCTTGACATAAACAGATTTATGTTTTCGCCGAACTTTCATTCCTTTGTTCAGCATCCACAAGCGGTGTTTGTCTCTTTAACTATCCCATGGTTGAACCTTTGTGCCAGCACCTCTGGATGCATTTCCTTTGTGGAAGTAAGAATGATGTTTTCCTGAAGAATGTTATTTATCGATGTTATGGCAGTGTGTGGTTGTTTCAACAGGTAGTATCAGGGAGAGCATTGTGTAACGTGAAATTGGTTTATCTTGATATTCTATATTGGGTGGACATTTTGACCTACTTAATCAGGGACATCATGAAGCTTAGGCACTGCATTCTAGCTGGATGGGAAGACTGCACTACTATTCCTTTATCCCTCAAAAACATCGTAGGGTATTGAGTAATTAGTGGCGTTTAGTCAATCTTCCACCGGGCTGTAGTGAAATAAAATAACTTGAGGTGTGAACAGCTGCATAGCAGTTTGACCAACCGGCAAAGCCTGTAAAATTGGTCGTACTCCCCATTTATGTAACATTGTTCCACTTATTATCAGCTAATTCAGCCTTGACGCTTCTTGAACTCACTCGAGTTCAGTTTGGTCCGTCTGAAAGTCGTGTCCACTATACTTGCTTTTGATTATATGATCACTCCGCTGATGAAGGACTTCGGTAGGCTGGGGGAACAGTGCTTACCCCA